TTTAATAACATTAGGTTTAACGAGTACCTAGGTTTGCTGCTACAAGGAAACTAATAAAGTGTGTTTTTGAGTAAAATATTGATAGCTTAGTACAAAATAAATAAATTTGCCAAGTTTGATCAAAATATATCCATAAACAAGCAAACTACAACATTTGACAATATTCTCCATAAGATTAACATGGGAATTTTAAATTTACAATTTTTTTTATTTTCTCCGTTACTAATAATCAAACAAAAATACTTTTACATACTAAATTATTTGTTTTTTTAAGCTCTTTAAAAAGGTCTAAAGAGAAATCGGGAAATTTTGTGTTTTGAGGGGTTTCAAAAGTGAGAAAAACCAATTTTTACCCCATAAAACCCCCCATAAAGCCCCGTTCCCATGATCCGATCGTGCTGGTTCGCGAACTCATTCAAGTTTATCCCGCTTTACACCTTTAAACCAAATTTCATCAAAATCGGACAAAAATTACTCAAGTTATCGCGTTCACGGACGTATATATATATATATATAAGTCTATATATATATATACATATATATATGTATGTACATATATAAAAATTTGAACGAATAGTGTTTTTGGCCTCTGGGGACATCAAAATGAAAAAGTAAATCGGTCCCGGGTCTAGGTCTTACCGTGCCACCTACGGTAATAGCTACTTCCCTATAGGGAAATTCGCTAATAAACACCATATATTTATATTACTTCATCTATGGTTATACCATGAAGTTATAGTATTCCCTAGGTAGTCAAAAAGCCACTTTTCTCTGTAGTCCAGTCAATGACGGTAAAAAGTGTAAGCTGTGTATATAATGAAAAAGTGTGTATATTAAGCTGAAAAATAATGAAGTTACAAACATTATAACAGAAAACTCGATAAAATTGTTATATTTGTATAGCTGTTGAAATATTGATGGAGAGAAAATTTGATTTTGAGTTTGATTTGATATACTTATTACAATAATTTAATTTGTTTTACATTATTTGGCCTTTTAGGGATTTATGCACCATGCACCTATACCAGCCATTGATTAGGCTACAAAACTTCTTATCAATAATAGGTAGGGTATTAAATAAATGTTAACCGACTCATCATAGCATTTAATACCTACCTATTATTTAATACCCTACCTATTATTGATAAGAAGTTCACCAGGTCAGCTGGTACGTGAGCTGGTTCTCGCGTCTGAGAGGTGGCGCTCATGGTAGCCAAGGTAGGAACTACCGTCTGCAATACCGACATTACGGACATGGTCGTAACGCAGTACGTTGTAAGTAACCACATAAGCATATAAATAGGTTTTTAATCGCAGCTTTTGGTTGCAGATTTTATGAACAAAAATAAAATTGGAGCAAGAGCATAAACGCAATATGTAATACCAAAGATGGGTTAACCCGGATTAACCAACCACAAGTGGACTTCTGTAAATTTAGAAGCTCGTTTTTTTGTGTCTAGTCCATGTCCAATGTCCGGTGACACTGATCGCTAGTGTTGACTAAATTTTGATAACTAGGGTACGAGTTATTGTTTATGATTACATAACATAGTTTTATTTTGCAGAACGAAGTTTTAAAAGAAACAAATTGTAAACAAAACACAACCAACATGTTCTGTGCACCGGACAGAACTACAATAACATTGGCTTCACCTGTTCCATAATGATGAGAAATTTACTGAGGGAGGATGATTTATCTATGGTGGTACTGAAGGGAAGTGAATAATTATCCAATGAGTTTTAACATCCAGAAGAAAGAGTATCACTCTCTTACTATAACCACAACCAGTGGCAAGTAACTCAATACTGTATTATTGTAAACTGACTGCTGGATAAGTTGTAATGCCATTAAAATGTTCAATATACCTTACAAACGTGTTAAGATATATTGTTATATCGAACCATCGAAGTATACATACTTCGATGTATCGAACGAGTTCGCAAACCAGCATGAGCGGACCACGGGAATGGGTTTTTATCGAGTAAAAAATTGGTTTTCACATTTTTGAGCCCCAAAACATAGAATTTACCAGTCTTTCTCTAAACAACTTTTTAGAGCTTAAAAATCCAATTTAATATTTAAGTGTTTTTTTTTTTTACAGTTATTCTGTTGGTTACGGACAGTTAAAATAAGACCGTAATGAATACTGAAATCTTGAAATTTTTTAATTTCTCCATTCTTATGGAGTATGAGTAAACCAAAAATCAATTTATTTTATACTAGGCTATTAACATTTTACTAAAATACTTCAATACCCTCCTTGTACTATCAGCGAACCTAAGTACTCGTTAAATCTAATGTTATTCAATCAAATAGCGAATCAATCTGGCTTATTTGAGGAAATACAGTATTTAAGTGAAAATTCAATCAAATGTAAATTTGATAAGTCTGCAGGTTTGATGCAGTGTTGGTATTTTTTTAACTTTTAGTTTTCTATATACTGGGGCCTAAATTTTTCCAAAAACATTCATCTACTCCTGTTGATTCTTCTGATTCCCTCTTCCCTCTCCATGGACTATTTTGTTCTTAGTACAGTACTACAGCAGTTGGATCAGAAGTACGACTATTTGTATGAAAGTGTCTTCGTAAAATAAGAGATTATAAACGTCATAATATTGTTGTATAGCGAGGGTTATGAAAACTGTTCTAAAGCGCTTAGTAATCTCGGATTATTAACATTTTCAATCTATACAGAGTGGCTGAAAATTAACTTGCACCCCCTTTAACTTTTTAACTATTTGAGATATTTGAAATCGGTTTGCGGCAACTTGTTTGGATATGAAGGGCTACAATAATTATGGTCAGTTTTGAAAATTTGGCCCTTAGGGGTAGTGGGGGTAGGGGGTAGCTCAAAATTTTCAAATAGCAAGTATACTCGAGTTTGGTATCATTTTACAGGTCTTGACGAAACATAAAAATTACAGTTACTATAAAGCATATAAATAATTAGTATTTCAAACACTGTACAACACGTTTTAGCGAATTTCCCTATAGGGAAGTAGCTATTACCGTAGGTCTCATGGTAAGACTTAGGCCCGGGACCGATTTACTTTTTCATTTTAATGTCCCCAGAGGCCAAAAACACCATTCGTTCAAATGTTTATATATATATATATATATATATATATATATATATATGTGTGTCCGTGAACACGATAACTTGAGTAATTTTTATCCGATTTTGATGAAATTTGGTTTGAAGGTGTAAGGCGGGATAGACTTGAATGAGTTCGCGATCCAGCATCGGACCATGGGAACAGGGTTTTATGGGGGGTTTTATGGGGTAAAAATTGGTTTTTCTCACTTTTTACCCTCAAAACACAAAATTTCCCAATTTTTCTCTAAACCTTCTTTAAGAGCTTAAAAAAACAAACAATTCAGTATATCAAAGTGTTTTTGTACGGTTATTGGTTACGGAGAAAACTAAAAAAATGGTAAATTTAAAATTCCCATGTTATTCTTATGGAGAATATTGTAAAATGTTGTAGTTTGCTTGTTTATGGATATATTTTGATCAAACTTGGCAAATTTATTTATTTTATAGTAAGCTATCAATATTTTACTAAAAACACACTACTTTATTAGTTTCCTTGTAGCAGCAAACCTAGGTACTCGTTAAACCTCGTTGATCTATGTTATTTAAATAGATCAATTGAAAATCAATTCGGCCAAATGGAAATTCGCTTAGACGGCAGGTTTGCTGCGGCGGGGGTATTTTTATTAGGTTAAATACAAACGTTGAACGAAATGGGAAACGCTGCACCAGCTGATCGTAGTCGTAATATCAAGTGATGCCAACTTATTTTCAAGCGTACATGTATTACGTACCTAATAAAAGCACGCTGTTTTGTGTTGTTTGGTTGGAATCGTTGGAATACTGGTATGCGGCAAAAAAACTCTACGGCAAACCACTACAAGGATGAGGTAGAAAATTTTCCCACTGAACCAATCCCAAGGAGTTACGAAAATATAAGAAAATCTTTTAAATTTAGTGTATTAAAACCAGAGGTTTACGAGTTTGAATTTCACAAGTGTCAAATACAAACATATATGTGTTATTATATGTCATTTTTAAAGCTCTTCCTAATAACAAAAATTTGGAAAATCATGAACGTTTATTACTTTCAAAATGGTAAATCGTTAAATGAAAAATTCCTATATTTTATTTTAAATTACTTATATTTTTATTGAAAATACAGATAGCTCTACTCAGATTAAAATTTCTCTATCCTTATCTACTTAAATTTTCGAGATATCAACTGAAAACTTGTTTCACCCATTTTAAACTCGGGTTAATTGTTTGCAGTGCCATTCTTATGTCTACATTGTGACACATACAGTGATGTTAAAAATGTAACATAAACAAAATAAGTAAAATTAAAATATAAAAAAACATACCGGATTGAATGAATGAAATGAAATTTATATGGATTCGAAAATCTTACCGAATGAGGTTTTAAGAGCAAGAGGTAAAAGGAAATGTATAGAGTATTTAGATATAATGGATCAAGAAAATTAATCTACCATCTGTCAATGTTCAGTTCGTATGACACAATGGCACAAAAACAACTGAGACTTAATTTAAAAGACGTTTTATTTTTCAAACTACATCCTTTCTACGAATGGTTTCTACATTTATCTTTCTTTATGGCTTAGGTGAAAAACTATAAAATTCGCCAAGTGTGTTTCGATAGTAAACGAGTTATCTCAATAAAAATGTATAAACTCTTTTTGTTATAAAATAATCCCTGTGGGGGTAATTAGGTTGAGTTTGGATGTGCAAATACTAATAAAAGCGCTAATTTAACCATCACCCAACATCTGGCTAGTGATTTACAGCAGGATGCAATAAAACCGACAGGCCATAACATTGCCTAATGCAAGTAATTAGAAACAGAGTGCGTCCGCTAGCGCTGTCTCCGTGGTGCGGGAGGCAGTGGAACTAGAGTGGAGTAACTGTGAGTAACGCCGCTAGGAGCAGCACTGTGGGGGGAATGCGGAACCGCTTGGCGCGGCTTGTCAGTCAGTGAGTGTGCTGTCGCGTTGCATGGAGTGTGCTGGAGTCGCACAGCCTGAGAGCTCGTGAGCCGCCGTCATACGCTGCCATGGACTCTCCTCAGATGTACGACAACGTGCCGTCCGCTCTAGACTCGCAGAAGAAGCAGCTTCAACATCACATCAAGCGGTACACGGACCTCGCTGACCTGAACACGCCGGAGATCAGCCTGGACCTCCAGAATCTGATAGACGGAAGCGAGTTCGGTAGCGAACTGTTTACAGACATTCTCAACGGCCCTAAACAACCCAACGCCGTCAATGTCAGGCCACCCTTCCAGCCGCGGACGACGCTGGCGTATATGCCGCAGCCCGTGCACTTCGAGAGTAGCAATTCCAACTCTACCGGAACTAGCATCAAGGAGGAGCCCACGGAGGGCAGTGACTACAGGACCCAGGTACCCAACTACTCGGTGATCAGCAACAACGGGGGCGGTACCTCCTTCAGCACGCCCTCGCCGCTGCTGAAGAACCAGCTGAACCACCATCACCACCATCAGCACCGCAAGGGTAACAAGAGTGTGGACAAGAACACGGACGAGTACAAGCGGCGGAGAGAGAGGAACAACATCGCCGTCCGCAAATCGCGGGAGAAGGCCAAGATCCGGACGAGGGAAACCGAGGAAAAAGTGAAGTTGTTAGTGAAGGAAAACGAACGATTACAGAAACGGATCGAACTGTTGAGTGAGGAGTTGAACGTGTTGAGGTCGCTGTTCACGAACGTGGGAGTCCTACCTGAACATCTACACAGGGAGTTGAACAAACACCTGGACTCGTATCAGCACGGGATACAGTGACAAACAGTGAGAGTGTGAGTGGTTACTGGTGACCAGTGCACGGACGACCACGGTATGTCCTAGGCCTAGTACAATGACGACACCGTATTTATTATCACTGACCGAAAGGTAGCTGTTTACCATTAACTTAGTTTCATCGACCTCAGTAAAGTCTGGCCCGAAATACGCTTATCTCTGTCTGTCTTTGCCAAAGTTCGAGATAATGTTAGATACACTAACCTCATTCACCGCTCTGTCGGGGACGGAACGCTCTGATACTGATTCACGCCTTATCGCAGAGTGCGTAGTTTCGATAAGATAAACGTTCTAAATTTTAAGGCATAGCCTCTTGTTAACGTTTTGGACTATTTATCGTGTTACTTATTTTTCGGGTGATGTTTTTAGAAATTAAAAGTCTATTTTGAAAAATTGTTGTTCGAAACAACTCGTGAGAGATATTTTGTAATGTTTATATCTAATGTGCCTTCAGTAAACCCTATTTTGTGCAGCTAAAATTAGGCCTAAATTGAACCGGAGGGTGCCGAAAAATTCTAAATAGGTGCTAGCAAAATGTTGTTCCCAAAAGATGCCTTAAAGTTGGGCTTTAAAAGACAATAAATTATTCGATTTAAGTTTAATATATAGGCCTAGTTACGATTATCTACTTGCATGTTACCTAAAGTTACCTTGTCCTTGTCGATGCAGCTTTCGTTTTCATAAAATGAAGTTTGTACCATTTCGATGACTGATGTTTTAGGATAAATGTCTTGTTTTAAACCTTTCCCCCCTTAAATCACAATATTTTGTTTGCACTCTTCAAAAACCTCAGCCCGTTGCTCTTTCAACTTTCAAGGCCTAATCGTATGTTAGATCTCCTACTCTCTCATAGACAGCTATTAGCAGGTAGTCTTCTCTCTTGATTCTTTGGTTGTGCCTTGTTGAATGATTTATTTATTACATTTTGTACATGTATAAAATACATTAACGTGTAAAGATACTATTTTGTTATGAGATATCTTCTATGGATATATGTACATTGTAGATGGATAGATTTATGTATTATTATCATTATTTATGACTTATCGTACCTTAATGTAAAAACTTCTTAAATTGTCTGTCTTTTGTTTGTTAGTTGAATGTTACCATTTGATTCTCGTGAGTGATAGGTTTGTTAGTTTCAACAAAACAGACAAATTCGTCGTAGCTTATTAATTAAAACTGAGCCCCTTTACTCTTACGTTGTTTGAAATATCCCAACCGTGTTTTAATCATCGGAGCCACGTACTTAATTAAATTTGAAAACTTTTAGCTCTTTTAGCTGCTAATTAGATAATATTGTTTTCGAAATTATGAATCCGTGTGTTTCAAACATGCAAAACGAAGTATAGCATACTTCGTTTTTATTTCTTGAATAGGACATGTTGTATCGCAAAAATTAGAGTGGCTTATTTTAGAAATCGTGTTAATATTAAAAGTAAACTCCATTCTTGTTTAGAAAAATTGTGGCAAATTAGCAACACTAACAAAAGCTGACTAAATCAAATTGAAACCATTTTAAAAAATCTTTCATTTACAAATCTAACAAACGAACCGTAATTTGTCTGTTTTAACCATGTTTTGTTGTAGAGCGTATTATAGGTTAAGACGAACTGCCTGAGTCTAGGATTATGTTTTCAAAGCTATTATGTGTTGTTTCCTAATTTTTTAAAAGATAAAATAAGTCTCAATATTGTAAAATATTTTTATGTACAAAGAGTAATTTTGTAAAATATAGATAATTATTTCTTTACAAGTGTGTTTCATTTTAGCAGTATTTCCCAGGCGGGGTAGGTGAGTGTAGGGTGCACTCATTTCGCATGCCATCACTCTAGGGGAGGCATGAAAGGCAGGTAATACATAGAGGGGTGGCATTGGGGTGCGACCCTACTTGTTGCTTGGTCCAATTTCGCATTTTCCCACAACCATTACTCCATTGGGGCTGCAGCCCTTTGAATTGCGATGCATTCTCATGCGAACCAGGTCCCATTGAGCAGGATTTACAAGTCATTATGGTTGTTTTGAATCTGTAATGAGATATCACTATTGACGTTTTGTTGTGCGTTTTATTAATGTTGGGATTTGTTGAATTATATAAATTGTTTGACAATTTATTAGGCTCAACTTTGTTAACACATGACTTATTTAATTATTTTACAGTTAACTTGGTTAATTGCGTGATTTTTGTGCAACAACTTTGACCAACTATTCACTGTATGAAAAACACTGTTGTTTCTTATAAATAGTAATATCAATTTTGTAGGATAATTAATTTAACAAGTATTAGCTAGCTATTAAATAGCAAGTATTAAATAGCTCACTGCAATTTAGATTTGAAAAATCATTCCATAGTTTAATTAGTTTATATCTTAAAATTGCATTTCACTATTTTTAGGCCTACTGTAACTGCGTAGCTTAGCAAAATGACGCCAATTGTTATAATGTTTATGGTTCATTAATAGTTGTAAATTACAACAATGAACAAAGTACAATTTACAGTATTATGATGTGTCAAATGCCAATTTACATGGGAACAGTATGAGTAACTGTTTTACAGGATGAAATACATATTTTATAAATTGCCAAACAATGGGAAATAACTTGAACATAGTTTTAACTATTACATTTTAATGATTTTATGAATGAATCAACTATGTTAAAATCTTGTGTAAATATAAACAAACTTTGATTGTTGGTCCAAAGTTTACTTTCGAATAAATCTTTCCAAGTTCAATATTTGCTTTGAAATTGATTAAAACAAGATTATTTAGGCTCAGTAAAAAATTAAAAAAAAAAATACTGAACTCAGCAAAAACTTATTTTACACTAGGCTAGATTGGGTATTTTGATGCACGCTTTCAAGTTGAAATAGACAACTGTCGTTCTATATTTCATTTTTTAGAATTCCAAGGCAATTTTTTTTGTATTTTATTTCACAGTAAAACTTTTTGTTCCATAACAATAAGCAGTGTGAAACTTATATACTCATCTGAAGAAAGTTGCTGCTGATAAAAGAGAAAACCTCTAAGTAAATCTTTACACCTATCAAAGGTAACACAAAACATGATCATTTATCATCAGTCCAAATGGCTATTGGTTAACCTTTTAATTTACAAATCAGGGTTGTAATAGGATAAGGTATTATAAAATAATGTTGTAATACATTCAAAGGAATACGGAGAGCTTTTTAATTTCAACTACACTAGATAATACTGTAAAAACAGGGTTTTAATGATATTACACAGAATACACATGCTGAATGCTGATAGCTGGGCAGCACATGAAGGAAGTGAAGTATAAACTGTAGGTTGGATTGGAGCAGAAAGGACCAGACTGTACTGTTGCGCAATATCTCTGCACCAGACTGTACCGAAGGAAATTTCCCTCCCTACTCCATTACAGGAATTTTTCATGCGTTATTCTTATAAAATTTTCACAGTAATTTTTTTGTGAATTTTCTATTTATTTTTCCTTTATGTTTTAAATAAAAAAATGAAATTGATAAGAATGCAAAAACTGATATAAACAGTACTTGGCAATTTTTAAATATGAGAATAAAGGTTATAGTTTTCTGAAAAAAAACTTTTTTATCTGTCAAGGATTTAATTATGGTAAATACAGTAATTCTAATCGTCCAACTTTTATCATTACAAAAATGTTTATAAAATAAAAACACTTTAGCCTACTACTTTAAACAACAATGTAATTATTTGATGCACAATTACTGAATCTTTACTTTTGAGACTCCCAATAGTACCAATTACCACCAAATAACAACGAAAGTGGCACTGAATTCTTACGTGAATTATTATTTCATTTAAATCATCCTGGTTTAACTTTCGTGTATCAGTTAAAACTATGTAATAATGAAACCATCTTTATAATAATAATCATAATTAGGTTTTGACAAACTTATAATATTGTTACGTTATATTATTTTTTTGTTCTAAAGCAAACTACAATGTGTAGTGAGATTTCAATTTTTACAATAAATTGGAATTTATATGTAGACTAATGAGTAATAAAATGCTTTACCTCAATCTATTTACATTGTACGCTATTTAAACACTAGGCCTAATAAAAAGTTGACTCATTGGTTTACGAAAAGGCCAAAAAGAAAATTAAATAGAACAACGCCAATAAATGAAAATTATTAATTTTGTAAGGACGCATTAGAATGAATATCCTTATACAAATTATAACTGTATCCAAAATCGATCTCTGTCACCATATCCATTGTTTAATTGAGCGTCACGACATAATTAGTCAATTAGCAAAAAAAATTTGTTAATTTAAGCCCTCTACAGGAGGTATGCTGCCGACGTGAATTTTCAACTCTTATACCCTTCCGACAACATTCATGACTGTAGCTTCAACCTACGTAGATTTTATTTGTGATATAACAAATAATAAAATACTATTCAAGTTCAAGTTCAAGGATTGTACAAAAGGTATTTTCTTACATGAAATACTGAACTAAAAATAAAAAAATAGCCAATCAATTAAATAAATAAAATAAAAATAAAATAGTTAAAAGGGAAATAAAACATCTATGTAAAATGTTAAATGTATGTGTTAATTCCTCAAATAAAAATTGAACTAAATGGTTAACAAAATTATTTTACAAGTAATAATTTAAACAAAAATACAAAAATAAATAAATAAATCATATAAAATCGATTTACCAAAACCAACTTCAGTCAATTCAATAGAAATAGATTGACTGTTTTTAGAAACAATTTTAGTAGTTTTTAAAATTAACTACACACTAGACAAATGAAAAGAATGTTAATATAAAATCATTTTTTATAATAAACACTAGATAAAAAGAGTACCATAAAATTAAATAAATAAAAAAATTGAATAGGCCTAAATAAATTCTAAGAGTAGAATAAAAGCGAACAACAAAAAAACTTTAAACAAAACAAAATACCCTCTACAACTTGAACACATTTTGGAATGTCCTTTAATTTTAACAGTAAACAGGATATTTTCTACCATTGATAAAAAATACCTTACTTAGTCCATTTAATGATCACACGCCTAGCCATGCTACAATTGCAGTAAACTGACCAAAGTTCCAAGTTTATACAAAATATTGATAATAATTGTAACATATTATTGTTTAAATTGATAATCTTGTATCTATTTAATAAATCAAAGATACAGATTCTATAGTTTGAAAACAAACTAGACAACATTCATAATAGCATTCGAGATGGTCAGAAAAGTTTGTACCCTAATGCTAAATTAGGGAATGAGGGATTTTAAGGAAGTAGTAAAGTTATCTAGAACGTCCTATAGAATTAGCAAAAGTGGGGTATAGTTGACGAATTCTTGTTAATCATGTCAGTTAATTACTTTTTAGTACGTTTTCTTACGTTACTTTTCTACGCATCTCAGAGTGTTGCCAAAGAAACCATATTCCACAGCAAGCGCTCATTCAGGACGAGACATCCGCTCTCCAAAATTCTTCACTTCGTCCAATTTGTTCCGATCGGACGACTGCAATTTTGGAAGGTAATTAACACCCAAGTACCTGGACAATCCACAGAATCGTTCACGCTCCATCCTCCCCAATACTGTACAACATGTCTCTAAAACACAGGATATATTGTGAAAATACTATGTTTTGTTGTGAAAATACAATTTACAGTTAACTTACAAAATACAGGTTATTTCCCAAAAGGTGTAGTAGAAAATACAATATGTCAAAAATAATCTATAAAGTTGGTATGTCTTGGACTCTAGGCTTAAGGAACTTAAATATATTTTATAATTTTGTGTAATACCAACATATACAATTTTTTTTATTAATACTTTATAACAATAATTGTTTATATCTAAACCCCTTTCTTGAGAATGGTTTGTGTGTGTAAGGATATTGTAGATAAGGAGCCTGTGTTGGTTGCTGGTTTGTAAAATATATCTATTATTTTTATACCCTGTATTGAATAGGTCTGATTATTTAAAGCTAAGGACCGATTGAAGCACTTTGAACTTAACCCCCCGGTTTTAACCTCAATCCCTTTATTTAGGCTACTTTGCTTTATTTGGATAGCCGAATCAGTGACGTAGTCAGGATTTCAAAATGGGGGGGGTCGACCGACTGCCTGGTCGGATAGAAGAGAGGTCCGGGAAATTTGTTGAAAATATAGGCCCTAAAACTGTCTTTTTGAACTCTTCTGGCATTGGAAATAAACAACCCCAACGTCAGTACAGTATTAATATATAATTTATATAATTATTATTATATCATTTTACGTTTATATGTATTAACAAAAAAATATTATATTTAGGTCCGGACCCCCAGGACCCCCCCTGGCTACGTCCACTGGCCGACTTATAATATTGGAATTCAAATCGGAAGAGGTTCCTGGTTTGATGCTGAACAGTGTATACAGATGTCATTCGTAATAGGCTATCAACAAATTGTGCTACCTTTATGAATATTACGTCATAAAGTATAGTAGTAAGATAAGGAGTTTTAACCGTTCTATTATGTTGGCGTAGAAAACACACACACAAAATTAGATCGAACCAATTTAAAACTTTTATTTACACTATGCAAACCAAAGATAAATCCCAAATCCCACATTCCACTTATCCAAAGAAATGGAACACGATAAGACAAGACGTTTGATAAATCAAAACAATCGGAAGCCCTAATCCCGCAAGGCAAATGACACTTTGTGTGTTTACAAACCTTGACACGGATTTGTTTATTGTTTGTTTATGGCGCCACGCGGCACCTGA